TTATTCTGCAATTATTATGTAAATGAAGTATTACTGACTTGTAACAGAATAAAGAATAATAGGTCGGGCGCGGTGGCTCAAGCCTGTAATCCCAGCACTTTGGGAGGCCGAGACGGGCGGATCACGAGGTCAGGAGATCGAGACCATCCTGGCTAACACGGTGAAACCCCGTCTCTATTAAGAAATACAAAAAACTAGCCGGGTGAGGTGGCGGGCACCTGTAGTCCCAGCTACTCGGGAGGCTGAGGCCGGAGAATGGCGTGAACCCGGGAGGCGGAGCTTGCAGTGAGCTGAGATCCGGCCACTGCACTCCAGCCTGGGCGACAGAGCGAGACTCCGTCTCAAAAAAAAAAAAAAAAAAAAAAAAAAAAAGAATAAAGAATAATATAGCTCTTAATAGAAACTGTCAATACAAACACGTTTGTAGATATTTAATCAAAACAGAATTGCTTTAAAATATTGTTGTATTTATGAGTAAGAAATTTTCTTAGAACAATTATTGATGTACTATTTTCTATGTTCAAATCCATTTACCATACAAACAATTATCTTATATGTTATTATATTGAAATAGAAAGGAAAACACACATACACACACACGCACTCTTTTACATTTTCTATAATGGAAAACTCTCCTTTCATCAAATGTTGTAGACAGAGTACTTTATTTTACTTAATTTGTTTTCATATTTCTTACAAAATTATCGTACAGTAAAAGTGACCAAGTGGGAAAAGTTTGAATATTTTGCAAAATGAGAATTAACGACATCACTTAATTGATTTAACCTTACAATGTATAATTTAGATCAGCTTGTTAGATGGTTTTGTCATTTAAAATTCATGTATTGGAAGCCATCAGCACTTCTCTGTAGCTTATTTTAACAGATGGAGATCCTCTACAGATATCCTTGGCTGTAGTAGATGGAAGCTATTTAACTCTATGGAAAACATTTTGTAAATAAATTATGTTGTCTTTATATAACTTCAGTAACAGCTCTTTTCATATGCCATGTATCATTTCTATTTCTGAAACAATATTACTACCTTTTTGTGAAGACCGTTTTCTGGGTTATCTGTAGGATCTTTTGGGGAAAACACAGACATTGAAAGCAAATTACCATTAAAGAGGGAGAGTGCAAAAAAGTTAGGGTTCTTAGACAAGTTATCTATCCAACCACTCTTAATAATATAGCCTTGCTCCTTTATTTCTAAAAGTGAGAAAATGCTATACAGTCGTAATGAGAGTTAAGTGGGAATACACATGCAACTCACTTTCTGTAGTGCATGACACACAGTGATTTATTAGTCCATATCCTCATCACATCATCATATCAAATTGGCAGTGATATCTGGTATGTGATATCTCAGAAACTATATATTTTACAACAACAATAAAATAGGAAACTACACATGCATGATACAAATGCCTATGCCATTTACATTTTTTCCATCTCAGACTAAGAAGTCACATACAGAAAGCCAAAATGCTTTACGATTAGTACTTTTTTTTTTTTTTTTTTTTTTTTGAGACGGAGTCTCTCTGTCGCCCAGGCTGGAGTGCAGTGGCACGATCTAGGCTCACTGCAACCTCCGCCTCCCGGGTTCAGGTCATTCTCCTGCCTCAGCCTCCCGAGTAGCTGGGACTACAGGCGCTGCCACCACGCCCAGCTAATTGTTGTATTTTTAGTAGAGACGGGGTTTCACCATGTAAGCCAGGATGGTCTCGATCTCCTGACCTTGTGATCCGCCCGCCTTGACCTCCCACAGCGCTGGGATTACAGACGTGAGCCACCGCGCCTGGCCACGATTAGTAAATTTTAAGAAATTTATCTGTGTTGCTTAAGCAATTAAAAGAGTATCTCATAAAGGTCACCTGGAGAAAGTTTTTTTTGTTTTTTTTTTTTGTTTGTTTGTTTGTTTTTTAGCATGAATGTTGAACAATCATGAACAAATATAGTTAGTTGTGGGAAATTCTTTCTTATGTACATATGGAATATAATGGAATATATTTTATTGACTTCCACATTGAAAAGGCTATTATTTCAGTTTGTAATTCTATATCACACTTGATGGTTAAGTGTGCCACATGAGAAATATTCCTGAAAAAAGAGCATTGGCTTTTAAAGAATTGGCTTTTCTCTTTTTAAATGTTTTGCTCTGTCTTTTCCTCTAAAGGATGTAATTCAAAATGACAGTGTAGTAAAAAGGTCTTAACACAAAAACATGTAAAATTTCAGGGAGATGAATTTCTTTTTCATTCAAAATGTGAAAACCTCTTCTTTTTTCTGGTTCAAAATATCCCCCACCTGTTAGAGTTTCAGACAATAAACAATCCAAGTGTACATGTAATATAAGCAGAAAATAATTTGATCACAGTGATCTCTTTGATAGATTTCTTCTGCCCTCTCATTTCCCTGTTTATGAGTGGTGACAACATATGCCATGATTTTTTTTTGCAAATGTGCTCTAAGATTTTAGAATGACAGAGAAAGAAAACTAATAACTTTTATTTTAATATGATGTTAAACTGGAAGGAATTTGAACTTCTGATTTTTTGTTAAATCAGTTAATTTTGTTGATCTTCAGCAAGTTATTCTTTATAGGCCTCAGTTTCTTAACAGTAGTAGGTGAAAAATAGTGATCTTAGAGTATTGATGTGAAAAGGTAATCAAGATAGTAATGATAAAGTTCTTGACGCATATGTAAATGTTTTAAAAGTTTCAATGCCAGTCAGGCGAGGTGGCCCACGCCTGCAGTCCCAGCACTTTGGGAGGCCAAGACAGGTGGATCACCTGAGATCAGGAGTTCAAGACCAGCCTGACCAACATGGTGAAACCCCGTCTCTACTAAAAATACAAAAATTAGCTGGGTGTAGTGGCAGACCCCTGTAATCCCAGCTGCTTGGGAGGCTGAGACAGGAGAATCGCTGGAACCTGGGAGGCGGAGGTTGCAGTGAGCCAAGATCACGCCATTGCACTCCAGCCTGGGCCACAGAGTACTCCATCTCAAAAAAAAAAAAAAAAAAAAAAAAATTCCAATGCCCTTATCCTCCACATTTTTTGCAAGTACATCTCACAGACTTTCCCTTAGACCTGTAGATTCAACCTTGAATAAATGTCATGCAGGACTACTACTTTATTCAGACACTCTTTCATTTGTTAAGATCTGAAAACGACCATCTTGTTTCAGTGGGAGTAAAGGACGCCATCTTGGCTTCCTAAGCATACTCTGGCTTCTTTGCCATTGAGCCATTGTCATCATGCCCCTTTGCCCAGTCTCTTTGTCAGGGTCTCCAGTCCAACTTCTACAAACCAGCCTTCATCCATACCCATTAAGATTACATTCTTCTACTTGCTATAACTTCGTATCCCTGATTTAAGAATCCTCACTATCACCCATGTGAATGAGGATATTGACATTATCTAATAGTACATTGGCTATTTCCTACACTCTAGATTGAACATATTTCATATGCACAAAACCCAAAACAAGACCCAATTTCACAATGCCACTTTATATGTATGAGCAGTCTCCCAATCTGTCCTCCTCAACTAGCTATTACAGCTTGCCACACTTAAATAGTTAAAAAAATAAAAATTTAGTGTTTTTAGAGTCGAGATCATATTAGTCACACCATATATTAGGGAAACAAATGCATTATTTCTTTCTCCTTTTAAATTTCTTTTTTCCTGTTTTCCTTAATGACAAAATAAGGAAAAGCATTGCTTTAAGACTCTCTGTGTTATTAATCATAGCGTATTATATAGTAGCCATTTGTCAGATACATTTATATGCAAAAGTACAATTATTTCTTGTTTCTTTAATTAGTTATTTTAATTGACAAACAGAAATTGTTCACCTTTAATATGTACAACATGTTTTTAAATGTATGTACTTATTGGGAGTGGGATGGCTCAGTCAAGCTAAAACATATTCATTAAAGTATAATTATTTCTAATTGCCATTCAAAACATTTGGCCTTTAGACTTTCGGTCACTAAATTAAAACATTTCCATCAATAAAATAGAGGTTTATGATTTTAAGAAAAAAATGACAAAGTAGTAAAATATGGAAAAACATATATATAGCCAAAGGAATAAATAAAATGTTCATTTAGCTAAATATCCTCAATATTATATATTTTAGTAGATGAACTCGTAAACTGTCCTGGAGTGGAACGAGAAAAAACTGTGTTTTTTTTAACTGTTTATGCAAATGACTGCCTAGTGACCTAATTAAGATCCTATACAACCAGTGAGAGAAACATGTAGCTTCTGTATTCTAAGTCCTGGGGACACTGAAATGATCCTGGAAAATGCACCAGGAATAAAACAGGTAGTGATTGGTGTTAAATGTAATACTGCAACAGAAAACTACATGTAACACAAGTGAGAACTCATTCCCAACAAGAAACACAGAGTTATAGAGAAGACGTAGGTGTGAATCACTCTGTTATCATAGAAACTATAGCAATTTTCATCTATTACAAAACTAAAATGAAATAACTAATCAGAACTAAAGTACTGTAAATAGTATAAATATCATACATGAAAATATTTGGAAATGATTCAACACATATAATCACTAAAGAGAAGGCACAGAATTCTGATGCTAATTATATTACATAGCATCTAATATGGTGGGATATGTGTCAAAACTATGAAGCTCCATATTACATTAGATTTGGCACATTTATATTACTTTCTCAGTTAATAAAACACTATGGTAAGATCCCAACTTATTTTGAATATGTTACTTTAATAAAAATTGATAGCATAAGACCAGTACTTCAACTATTGGCTCATTATTTTTTACTAAAGTAACACTAGGCATGAATCTCATCAAAATGTTTAATTCTGAAGATGTGTAATTTTTAATTAGCTTCTGCTTCCTAAAGACTAAGTGTCTAGAAAAATGATTTTCATTCCTGTAGCATTCAATGACACCATTAAATTTTTTTAAACCACAATAATTTAGGCTTAGCAGGAAAGGTGACATACTTTTGGGGAATCGAGGTGGATTGTCATTGACATCGGTGAGAGTGATGTTGACTATTGTTGTTCCGGCTAATCCTCCAAGCTGTCCTCCCATATCCTTGGCTTGGATGAGAACTTGATATTGTTCTTTGACTTCTCTGTCCATGTTTGGCAAAGCTGTTCTAATGACACCTTAAGAGATAAAAGCAATAATGTAAAGTAAATATCACAAATGCTGTGTTTTCTGAAATAAAATAATCTGCAACAACATGATTCTACCTAGAATCACTAACAGAGACATAATAGCTATAATTATATCTTTTAAAAAGTGAGACATTCAAAATGTCCAATGGTTAGGAAATAATTTAAAATATTATAGTAGCTACATAATAAAATGCCATGCCACAATGAGAAATATGGTTAAAGAACAATGTATCACCTCTAAGAAATAGTCATCATTCATAAGTAAACCAAGTTAGACACGATTTATATGCATGATCCTATCTTTAAGAAGAAGAAATCATTAAAAATTAGAGAGAAAAATATAAATGCTAAAAATACCAAGTGGTTAAAATAAGTGTGCAATTTCCAATTATTACTACTTTCTTCTTTGTTCTTCTGTTTATTTTCTAGGATAAAAATACTAATTTCTTTTCTAAAAATGCATTCAATAACTTGGTTACATATTTTGTTTTGTCTTTCAGAATTCCCGTTAGTTATTTTAGCAACAGATATTTCACTAAGTTTCTCCAGCTTCCAGGACAGTGCTTGCCATTTACAAGGAACACAGTGAGTATATGCAAACCAATTAACTGAATGAGTGACTGGCTGAGTGAATGAATCTCTAAATAATTAAATTTACAAGTGTGAACTTTATAGTACATGTGCATATTTACATACTGTCTTCATTTACTGTCCTGGTGTCCAAGTGTAAAAGTAGTTTATATTTCTATTTATTCATAGTAAAAGAACGAAAACCTCCTGGATTATTCTCAAATAAAATCATGAATAAATTTCATACCAAATTCCAATCTTCAGTCAATGGTTTTAGGGAGAGATTGGACAGCATTTGTTTTAAACACAGCTGGCTTTAACAGTGTTGTTTCTTTCTTTAAGAAACATGCTACTTTCTTTAAATAGCATATATAAATAACAAATATAATATCAACAAAAATAAATCAACCATCAACAAACATGCAGAATCCAAATCATAAAACCAACATACATCCCTGTTTTACCTGTATTTTCCACTCTCTACTTAACAAACGCTTATTCAAATTTTACAGTCTGAGATTTCTTCTGACTATTGGCAGGAAATTGTTGCAAAGAAAAGACAGCCTTCATTTATGATGCTGCTACTTTATTTATCAATAGGTACTGACACTTTTTTTTTTTTTTTTTTTTTTTTTAAGAGGGAGTGTCTCTCTTGTTGCCCAGGCTGGAGTGTAATGGTGCAATCTGAGATCACTGCAACCTCCACCTCCCGGATTCAAGAGATTCTCCTGCCTCAGCCTCCCAAGTAGCTGGGATTACAGGCATGTGCCACCACACCTGGCTTATTTTGTATTTTTAGTAGAGATGGGGTGACACCTTTTTAATCCAATGTGTTTGCCCTTTCTTCAGCCCAGGCTCCTGATGCTCCATTTCCAAGTCTCTTAACTAAGATTCTTCATCTCTACCTATGAGTGTTCTGGTTCTACAGACCTTAAGTTATGTGACTTCTGCCTGACTTACAATGCTTACATTTTCTAGATAGATACCTGGGTTTGATTCATCTGCATTATGTCTTGTCCTGTTGTTGACCGAGTCTATCTTAATTCATTTTCAATAAGAAAGTTATGTATATCTTTCTTAATTTATTTCTAGCATAAAAATTTCCAATATGAAAATTATTTCTATCACTATTCATCAATGTATTTCCAAATCTATCTATCTACCTATCTATCTATCTTTCTATCTATCTATCTGGACAGAGAGACAGAATTGTGGAGTTGTTCCTTTCTGGTTATCTGCTAACCTAAATAAAAAAACTATATACTGGGATCCAGTTTGATTAAAACATTAAGATGCAAAGTTCTTCTTTTCCCAAGATAATGCCATCAATTTTTGCTTAATTATTGAGAAATTAATAAACAACAGAGTAGCTATGAAAAGAATGACTTCTTGAAAACATTCTTCTCCTGCATTAAGATAAACTGCAATGTTTAAAGATTCTCATGTTAAATTTGGAGTTTGGTTTAGCACCCAGATTCCAACTCCAAAAAAAATATACACATAACTACACTATTTTTCCTCTGGAACAGCGGTATTTAAATGGAAGTGGTGCTGGGGCAGGGGAAGCACACCCTGGTCATCACTAGAAATTGACTTTCAAACTACATATGCCATCCTTTCCTCTGTCTGAGTTCTACCTACCATCCAGTTGGTAGCACTACACTAATAGCAGGGCTAGAAGCAGTAGAGAGGTCACTCATAAGACACAGGGTAGAGTAGGAGGGCAGGGCTGTGAGTGTGATGCAAAAGGTCTTGACAATTTTTATGAAACACTGGAAAAAATACATATCTATTCTTAACTCTGATAATACCTATTTTGTCTCTGTTCAATTGCATCTTAATGTTTTAATCTAACTGGATCCCAGTAGATAGCTTTTTATATAGGTTTGCAAATAACCAGAAAAAATACAATTCCACAATTCTCTCTGTCCAGATAAATAGATAGTTATAGAAATAGATAGATGGATAATGATATAGTGACAGACCTTCTGCTAGCATCTATTTGGTGGCAGTCACAAATGCAACTACAGTTTCGAAGACTATGTTCCATAATTCCAAACTTCTTTCAAATATTCTGCTGTATCTTAATATAAGTTAATTCTTATTATTACCTGAGACTACTGAGATAGATAGATAGATAGATAGATAGATAGATAGATTAGATTAGATTAGATTAGACTAGATTAGATTAGATTGATATGCTTTTTAAATTCATTTTCAGGAGCATAGTGACTATATGAATAATGGAAAGCCTGACTTATCTAAGGTATAGATGACAGAAGTAATGTCAGCATTGATAACCTGAAACTTAGTCTAGGATCCATCATACCATTTCACATGAATAAATATATTTAAAGATGGTGTTTATTCAAAGAAATGACAAGTTGGTAGGGGATCATTTGAATAATGCAATTCACAGAATTATTATGTTACCTAGCCCCTATAAATTGAGTAAGAATTGTGAGGCTCCAACAAGAAGTGCCTTCATTGCAATCATCCACTCCTAATGGTCAAAGCTTGTGAGAAGATGCCACTTGAAGTGCACACATTGGAGTGCTTAGGCTCCAGCTATTCCACTCTCTCCAGGTCCACTGAGCCCCTACACTTCTCCAAACTTCTTGTCCTCATTCTCTCAGTTCCCCCAGTGAATGCCTGCCCAGTTAGTGGACATCTTTCTGGTTTCTTCCACTTTAGTCTTTTTTTTTTTTTCTTATGAAGCCTTTTCTAACTCACAGCATGGCTTCAGGAAGAAATGACTGTACCCACACTAAGATTCAATCATAGCGTGTAGAATGTTTTAGTGCATTTTTTGATTTGTTGCCTGTTTACCTTTCTTTACCAGACCGAAGCCACTTTAGGACAGAGAGAAGTCCTTTCATTTGCTTTTCTGTTTCTGGCATCTAGTTAATGTCTGGCTCAGATTGATAAAGGACATAGAAAGAAATTATTTAGGCAGATAGTAAGAGTAAAAGAGTCCTTGGTAAAATTTCCCTTTTAATAAAAAGCAGCGTCCAAATCATTTCTTTTCTAACAAAGAGCAGCCTGAAAAACTGAACTGCAGACATAGATAAGCAAGCTGGAAGATTGCTCCGGGGAATGCCAGCAGCTGTGCGGAGAGAAAAGGGCTGCCTGGGAGCCAGGCATGTTCAACATGGAGGCTCTGTCTTCCCTTTTCTTTGTCACCACATGCACAGTAAAGAACTAGGCAACGTGACACTAGCCAGGTAGAGAACCCATCTCAATAAGAGATTAGGGTGGGGTGGCCAGATTTTCACACGCTGTGCAAATGGCACACCTAGCCCTAACCAGTTTTTCATACCTTATGCAAACAGTACACCTGGTCTGACCAATCTTTTGTGCCCTGTGTAAATCAGACATCACCTCCTCAAGCTTATCTATAAAACCTGCTGCATTTCACCACAAAAGCAGAAACCCATTCGGGTCCCCCCTCTCTGCAGGGGATCCTTTCTCTTTCTTTTGCCTATTAAGCCTCCATTCTTAACCTCACTCCTTGTGTGTCTGAATCCTTGATTTCCTCAGCATGGGAAAAGGAACCTTGGGAATTATCCCAGAGAATGATGCCACTTCAAGAGTATGTCTGGTTTTCTGTTTCCCTGTTCTTAATACAGCTCTGTTACTTTTTCCACCTATATGTACTATAATTTTTTAGTTCACTGTAAATTTATTATTTTGTGATATCTTTTCTTTTTTCTTCTACTCTCTGTGAATCATAATCCAAATATAGATTTTCTTCTCATTTTTTTCCTGTAGTTTTCCCCCATCTTCTACCCATGCCCTGAAAAATCCATTTCACTGATTTATTTTACCCTATAGCTATTTATTTTGCAAAAGAAGAAGTTTGTTTTCTTGAAAAAAGTTGTTGTCTATTTTCAACTTACCACTTTTTTACTTTGGAGCTAAATATCTGGGGAGGCAAGTCCAGACATTATCTTAATCATTCTGAATAATGTCATGAAATAAGAAAATGGCTTTTTGTAGATAGCATATGAGAAAAAGTTTTTTTGCTTTTCTCCAAATTCTAGAGATTTAGACCAGCACTGTACGAACTTAGGGGACTGGCAGATGAACAATGGGTAAATGGCTTTATTCTCCTCTCAATGAGGTTTATAGTTCAAAGGAGACTTAGGCCACCAGTCTGCTGTCCCTAGAGCAGCCATGATGGTGAGGTCAGAGCGTAAGCCAGGTCACAGAGCTCCTCCACTCTGAAGTCATCACAGACTGTCCACATCTTTAAGAATAAAGCCCTCACATAATCTTCACTTGCCTGCTGAACTCTGATCTTCTTTTCCACAACTCCTTCCCTCATTCACGGCAGGCTTGCACACTGTCTTCCCGGGCCAGAAATGTTCTTTCCAAGGGGTGCTCATTTATAGTTCTTCCACTTCCTTTAGATCTTT